GGCCAGCCTGTGGCTCACTTGGGAGAGTGTGGTGCTGATAACACCAAGGCCGCAGGTTCGGATCCCTATATAGGGATGGCCGGTTAGCTCACTTGGGAGAGCGTGGTGCTCAGAACACCAAGCCAAGGGTTAAGATCCCCTTACCGGTCATCTTTAAAAAAAAAAAAAAAAAAAAAAAGAAGTGATAAGTATCCAAAAAGCACATACTCTGGTCCGCTGATCCACCCATTGCTCCATGGAGGCAAAGGAGCACGGAAAGGCAAACTATATAATACAAAGGCTACTTATAGCAAATGGAGGCAGGTGACCATGGTACTGGTATCAGCCTGGTTGGCCATTTCCACTTTAAGGGAAGCCCTTTTGTAGTGTATAGACACTCATTTGAGCATGAGGGTGCCATCTGACCCAGAGCATGTCTAATAGGCACAGACCACATGGCCTCTGAAACTTTGGCTTTTCTGTTTTCAGTGACATTCAGCTCCATTCTGTTCTCACAGTCAGATTAGCCCAGGAGCTAAGTGTGTTCTTTAAAGTCAGTTTATGTATGTCTGGTCTAATCCTGCAAGGTCTGCTCTGCCTACCTATGTAATCTTATGTTGCTTCACTCTCCTCCTTGCCCTCTAAACATTGCCTATCCTAGACTTCTTATAGTTCCTCCTATCTCCCCCAGCACGATCTTTTTCACTATCTTCCAGGCCTTTGCCCATGCTACCCATTGCTGGAACACCCTTCCTTCCCAGCCTTTCCAGGTCTCATCCTAAAAGTCCCTTCCTCAGGAAGGCCTTCCCTGCCCCCACCACATTAATTGAGGATTCCCGCCATTACACTGTATGTGTACTTCCTTCTCTTAATACTTGTCACACTTTATTATACTTGTTACTTGTTTGATATCTGTCTTCCTTTCTAGCCACTAGAAGTCCAGAAAGGCAGAAGTTACTCTGTTCTGTCCAACTTTGTATCCTCACTACCCAGCAGATTGCCTGTCATCTAACAGATACTCAATATAATGCTTGAATGAAAGAATGAATTAATGATATCACACCTAACAATGCTTAGGAGTCACAGAAGAAGAAATTGTCCTAGCATGCCTTTCTTATGGAATTTACTAATATTAATAGATAACTAATAAATACCTTATTTATAAAATTAGTACATACAGATTTTCAATCACACATATTATATGAATGTTAAACCTAGTGTCCCTAGTCACAGGGACAGTCTCCCAGTTAAGGGTCAGTTTTTAAAACCCAAACAGAGCTGCCCCTCAGGCTTTCTGTCAGAATTACTGAGCCATATTGTGAGCTATGATAGCCTCCCCCTTAAAAGCACAGGACTCTCCAGACCACATTGTGAAATCAAATATGGTATAAGAATTGCTGAGGAAGTTTCACATTTACTTATTTTTTATTTTGAAGGCCAAGCCCAGACGGTGAAGTAGGCCATTAGAGGTGTGTGAGCAGGAAAGGTGATGAAGTCTGATCTGTGCTGAAGATTGCTCTTGCAACAAACAGGACATTGGATGGGTTAGAGTGTTTTTAAGCCCGGGAGGACAGAGGTAAAACCCTAACTCTTTCTCCCACTTGAATAGAATAGGTATTTGTGTGTATGTCTTATCTCCCCATCTGAGTTCATTCCCAACTAAGGGCAGAAAGTTTATGGTGTTCATCTGAGGAACTACCATGACACAAGTTGGAGTACATTAAAAAGTAAGGGGGAGGACTGGAAAAAACCCAACTGTCCATCAACAGGTGAATGATTAACAATTGTAGTGTAGCCATACAATGAATACTACTGAGGTAAAAAAACAAAAAAAATGAATGAACTACTGATACGTGCAATGATAAGAATGAATCTCAAAATAGTTATGCCGAGTAAAAGAAGCCAAATACAAAGAATATATACTGTATGATTCCATTTATATAAAATTCTAGAAAATGCAAACTATAATGACATAAAGCAAATCAGGGTTTGCCTGAGGACAGGGATGGGGGCAAAGGAGGACATTGGAGGAGGGGACAGGAGGAGAGGATTATTGAAGGGGCACTAGGAAACTCTGGGAGATGATAGCTATGTTCATTATTTTAATTGTGGTCATGTTTTCACAGGTACAAGGGGTCTTCTTAAAAGATTCGTATTATCTTTTAATTCCATTTTTCACAAACTTTTTGAAGTACCCTTGTGTATGTGTGTGTGTATATATATATATGTCAAAATTCAGCAGATTCTACTTTAAACATGCAGATTATTGCATGCCAATTACACCTCAGTAAAATTGTTTTGTTTTCTTGGTTTTTGTTTATTTTAATTACATGGGATGACAGAGAAATGAATTAAGAAATGGCATTTAAGCTGGACCCTGGATATGGCCTTGGCTTGAAAGAAAGCTCTGTCCAAGCCAGAAAGAAGGAACAGTTCAGTCCAGGCCTGGAAAAAAGCAAATGGGTGTACAGGAAGGTGAAAAGACCATTTTGACTAGAGCAGAAAATCTGTGTAGTGGAGCAGTGGGAGACGGACCTGTAAAAGAAAGAAGAGGCAGATTATGGGAGGCTTTAAATATCAAGCTTTTAAAAAGCCTGCATTGGGAGAGTGCGGTGCTGGGAGTGCAGCAGCGTTCCCGCCGCGGGTTCGGATCCTATATAGGGATGACGGGTGCGCTCACAGCGCTCACTGGCTGAGAGTGGTGGTGCGGCCGGTCTCAAAAAAATAATAATAAAAAATAAATAAAAAGCGTGCATTGGATTGCAGTTCTACCACCTGCTAAATGATCCTGGACAAGTTACTCAACGTTTCTAAAGCTCAGTTTCCTTTATCTCTAAGATAAGAATAACAATAATGGAATTTTCTTAAAAGGTGGCTGTGAAGATTAAATGAGGCAATGCATATAAGCCACTTAGCAGAGGACCAGGTAACTAGTAAAGTGCTCAATAAGTGGAAGCTCAATAACAATTATTGTTATTAACCCCAATATAAGCAAATGTTTAAAGATGTTTGAGCAGGAGAAAAATGATCAGAGGTTCTTTAGGAATCACCATCACTAATTACTTCCCCTCCAGAATTAAAATACCAAACTCTATCACCTCTTCCCATTTCCTTACTCTGTACCTTTCTTTCTTCCTAGTGAACATCATGCCCAGGAGGAGCCCAAAACCAGCATCTAAGGCTCCCTCCTGTTAGTGAAGGGATCCCAGCTGGTGAGCCTCACCTCTGCGAGACAATCTAAACTGAGTTGAGATATGGCCTCTGGGATGGAGAATCAGAGGCCCCCAATCCCACCCTCAAAGTGTTCAGCCACTGGGCTGGCCCGTGGCTCACTCGGGAGAGTGCGGTGCTGATAACACCAAGGCCCCGGGTTCGGATCCCACATAGGGATGGCCGGTTCGCTCACTGGCTGAGCGTGGTGCTGACAACACCAAGTCAAGGGTTAAGATCCCCTTACCGGTCATCTTTAAAAAAAAAAGTGTTCAGCCACCACCACCCCAAATTTAGATCAGGGTGCAGTCTGAAGAGAATAAAGCAGATGATATTTCTTTTAATTTTAAAACGTAGATATTTACCCCCCCAAATCCAGGGAGGGGTACAGGTTTTCAGAGAGTGATTCTGCTTTCTCAAGTCTCAAAAGCACTAAACTAAGAGCTTATTCTCTTAAGAGTTTCTGAGGAAAGGCCTTCTGTGCCTCAGTTTCCTTATCTGTAAAATGGGAGATAATAACAGTACCTACTTTTTATGAGATTCTTGTGAGGATTAAAGGAATTAATATGTATAAAGGGCCTAAAACAGTGCCTGACACATAGTAAGTGCTCCGTGGGTGTTAACTAAACTTTATTAAGGATTTTATTTATTCCATCTTGTTTGCAATGCTTCTTATTTGTGGTCATATATTATCCAATTACTAAGCATTAACAGTGACTTCGTAACAGGCTATTTCAGCCCCAGTGCATGTCTGGGTTAGAAGTTTGACTGATGGCTTATAAATAAATGTTCATCTTCCAGGTCAGTGGCATCCAGCTTCTCCACAGACCCACTGGTGGTTGTATCTGTTAATTTCATTTACTGAGAAAATATATTGCACATAAAAGAGTCCAGCAATGCATTTAAATTAATTGGTAACTTTATTAACAACAATAGCATCTACACAGATTTGAAAACACACATGCAGGAAACATAAAATTTATTAAGTCTATGATAATGTCTGGAGCTTATTTGGATTCATGAAACATCTCCAACCAACTCCAGAAGCCCTTAACCAAGAGCAGAGTTGAGTAACTGATCAGAACATCAGTGTCTTCATCAGCAAAATCACGGCGTGGACAAAAAGACTCAAATTCCACAAAATAAAACTAAAATGCAACTGTCCTGGCATCTGAAGATACAAATATGGTGGGCAGTGTCAGCTGCATGACCAGCGGACCAATCGCTTAGCTTCTCTCAACCGCATTTGTAAAAAGGATATTGACTCTGCAGTCCTGTCTATCTTGCAGGACTGACCAAGTAAATAAGGTGGCGACTGGAAATTAAAATCTCATCTGAGTGGGGAACAGAGAATCAGGATTGGTGGGAAAGGGGTAAGAAAAGAAGGGAAAATTCTCTTTCCAGTGACCAACGCTCTGAATTTAATGAAAATCAAAAAAAGGTGACAGTAAACTCGGAAGCGAAAAGCGAGGACCTACCATTTCCACCTCCTCTCAGATGCAAAAAGGCCCCCCTCCCAGCTGTTGCACTTGAGGTGACTAAAGACATTTGGAGGAGCTCCATAAATATTTTCATTTTCATTGAGTCTTCGCATACTTCTAACAGAAACGAACAACATCCATCTGTCTAGGGAAGTGACTAAGAAAGGGGTGGGATATAAAATGTAATTCAACAATATTAATTCAGTAAATAGTATTTATTTATTTTATTATATTTTTTTTAATAAAGATGACCGGTAAGGGGATCTTAACCCTTGACTTGGTGTTGTCAGCACCACGCTCACCCAGTGAGCTAACCGGCCATCCCTATATGGGATCCGAACCTGCGGCCTTGGTGTTATTAGCACCGCACTCTACCGAGTGAGCCACGGGCCGGCCCAGTAAATAGTATTTAAGTGTCCACTGTACGCCAGGCAGATTGAGGCTGAACACATAGAGGAAAACCAGACCAGCAAAGTCTCTGTCACGGGCTTAAGGAGAAAGACCATAAACAAGAAAGCAAACGAACCAATTTCATACAGCTGCTAGGAGGAAGATAAAACAGACAAGTAGGACCGAGAGCCGCGAATTCCTGAGTGAATGACTTGGGAAGGTCTCTGAGAAGTGACTTTTGAGCATAGATCTAAAATGACCAGTGCCTTGCAGTAACCTGGGGCCGAAGCATTCCAAGCAGAGAGTATTAAATGCAAATACAATACACAACCCGAGAAATAGTAAAGATTTCAAAGCCCCAAAGTGAGAGGCGGAAATCGAAGTCTACGAATTCCGCGGCGGCGCGAGATTTTGAATATCCTATCGCCCAATCAGGAAAAGGCTGGGACCCGGCAGCGCCAGCTCCGCGCAAAGCGCACAGAACGGCGGGTACCCACATCGCAGCGCAGGACTGGTGAGCCGACACAAGCCGCTGCCAAGCTTCAGCCGTAGACCTGTCACGCAGCGTCCGCAGGACCCGGGCTTAGTTCTGTCTTGGAGTGTCCTCTCAAATTATGGCCGCAATCAGCCACTTGGCTTTAGATGGATGAAATAAAATACCAAAGTCGCCTGGACACAGCCTGAACGAAGCAGGGGCGGGGGTGAATAGGGGCACATTCTCAACATCCCACTTTAGAGCTTACTCCTAGGAAAGCTGAGACGCACGGTAGGGGTAGAGACGCGCTGCAGATTTAACAGCAAATCCAGTCATGCGCTGGGAACCTCGAGTCACAAACGTTTAAGAAGTTACGTGTGCCACTTGCCATGACTTTTAAACTAGAACTTACTTCATAAAAAGGAACTAAACAGAAAAGTGAACAAAGCTCTTCCTAGTGATTAAGTGGGTGGCTCTGAAAAGAGCCTTTGGTGTCTGGCGGCCGGCAGGGACTCACTTGGAGCTGGTGTACTTGGTGACCGCCTTGGTGCCCTCGGACACGGCGTGCTTGGCCAGCTCGCCGGGCAGCAGCAGGCGCACGGCAGTCTGGATCTCGCGGGAGGTGATGGTGGAGCGCTTGTTGTAATGAGCCAGGCGGGACGCTTCGCCGGCTATGCGCTCGAAGATGTCGTTGACGAACGAATTCATGATGCCCATGGCCTTGGACGAGATGCCGGTGTCGGGGTGGACCTGCTTGAGCACCTTGTACACGTAGATGGAGTAGCTCTCCTTGCGGCTGCGCTTGAGCTTCTTGCCGTCTTTCTTCTGGGCTTTAGTGACGGCCTTCTTGGAGCCCTTCTTGGGAGCCGGAGCGGATTTTGCCGGTTCAGGCATGGTAAGACACAAGGTCAACACGATTTAGCAAAGAAAAGAAGTATGAGAATGGGCGGGCCCGAGCCCTTTATAACCACCTTATGCAAATTAAGGCTCCGAAAGTCTTTCATTTCCATTGGTCCATGTAGGGACCTTGCGTTTTCAGTAATACCTACGTAACAACACCAACTCTTGATTTTATTGGCCGTTTCTGGAGCCATGTTAGGACCAATGAAAAACTCGTCCCTGACCCCACCCCTAGGAAAGCTTATAAAGGCTTTCTTCTTGGTTCTCTTTCAAGCTTACTTTGCTGCGAGATTCTGACTTTTGTCTGTTTTTAACCTGTTCTTTCCGTCATGTCTGGCCGTGGCAAGCAAGGAGGCAAGGCCCGTGCCAAGGCCAAGTCGCGCTCGTCCCGCGCTGGCCTCCAGTTCCCAGTGGGCCGGGTGCACCGCTTGTTGCGCAAAGGCAACTACGCCGAGCGGGTGGGGGCCGGCGCGCCCGTCTACATGGCGGCCGTGCTGGAGTACCTGACCGCGGAGATCCTGGAGCTGGCGGGTAACGCGGCCCGGGACAACAAGAAGACGCGCATCATTCCTCGCCACCTCCAGCTGGCCATCCGCAACGACGAGGAGCTGAACAAGCTGCTGGGCAAAGTGACCATCGCCCAGGGCGGTGTCTTGCCTAACATCCAAGCCGTTTTGTTGCCAAAGAAAACCGAAAGCCACAAAGCTAAAAGCAAATAAATCCTGACAGACTAAACCAAAGACCAAAGGCTCTTTTTAGAGCCCCCCAAGTTCTCAAAAGAAAGAGCTAACGCGCTGTTTCGTGAGCAGCCCTTAATTCAACATTTCGGTGGCTCTTAAAAGAGCCTTTGGGGTTAATGGGGATGGCGTCAAGCCTCCTAATCACTTGTTCTTGCCAGGCTTATGACTCTCCGTTTTTTTGGGTAACAAGACAGCCTGGATATTGGGCAAGACGCCACCCTGTGCAATGGTGACACCCCCGAGTAACTTGTTGAGCTCTTCGTCATTTCTCACGGCTAGTTGTAAATGGCGAGGGATGATGCGCGTCTTCTTGTTGTCCCGGGCCGCGTTACCCGCCAGCTCCAGGATCTCCGCGGTCAGGTACTCCAGCACGGCGGCCATGTAGACGGGCGCGCCGGCCCCCACCCGCTCGGCGTAGTTGCCTTTGCGCAACAAGCGGTGCACCCGGCCCACTGGGAACTGGAGGCCAGCGCGGGACGAGCGCGACTTGGCCTTGGCGCGAGCTTTGCCTCCCTGCTTTCCGCGTCCAGACATAACGACTTAAAATGCAGTTACACCTTCTTTTCCAAGGAGAAGGATGTGGAAAGGATAACCAATTTGATGTGATTTATAAGAGCTACCGGGAGGGGTGAAGGGAAGTAGTTTGATTGGCTAAAGGCGGAGCTGTATCAAATAGCCAATAGGAAAGCAGAAAACAGACTCTTGGTTTGCATCCTGCAGTACGAGGAAATGACGGGTTTTCTAAGTACCTACCAATCACTGAGAGCCACATTAAAGCCCCTTAGTTGCATGCCAGGATTTTTAAAGAGCAAAAGCTTTCAAACAAAACGCTGTTTGGGGGGTGGGGGGGTGGGGTTTGTCGTTACTACTGAGTGGCAATTTGAGGGGCTGTTGGTTGGTTGGTTTCCATCCTAGAACAGGGAAATTCCAAGAAGGACCCTTAAGGACCCACAGAGAGCCTCAAGTAGACGGAGAATTACTTGCACTTAAAGGTATGGGATTCCCAAACCGACTGTCCCCTTGAGCGCTAAGTTACCCTCCAAGTCCAGCCCTTTCTGTCTCGTCACAGCCCAACTCCCTTAAAGAATACACTACTAAGGCTACCTTCTTTCTATCCCCTCAATTTAGTCGCTGGCTGCAATGTAGCTTTGCCCTACCCCCAACCCGCCTGCGCCCCTCGGAATCGGGTTTGACCAGTGGCTGGAATAGATTTGTCATCCTCTTCTCGACCTCCAGGAGGCGTCCAATAGCGCCTTGAAACTTGCTCCCCTGGCTTTCAAAATGTCGCTCTCCGTTTTTCTTCTTACCTCTCCGACTTTCCTTATTCTGCTCCTAAATCCGCGAGTCCATCTGAACTCTGCTTCTCTATCCCCAATTCTTCACTCTTCCCGAGGAGTCTTATCCAGTTCCATGCTTTCAACTGTCCAGATTCGTTTGAGAAGCCCAGACCTTTATACCTGACTATTTACTGGATACTTCAATGGTTTGTCTCAACAAGCACCCCAAACTCAAACTCAACCTACCCAAACGCGAACTCATGCAAACCACCACCGCTCTCTTCTCTTTGGCTTCTTTCTCTAAATTGCACCAACAAACTTCCAGGTACCTAACCCAGAATCTACTCTTCCCTTCTCAACAGCATATCTAGATGTTACTTCCTTAACATCTCTTCACCTTTTTCTCCATGCTCCCCTTGTCTACCTCAGCAGCGCTTTCTTAGATTTCAGCTACAGCCCCTGATGGGTAACTTTGCCTGCAGGATCCAATCGCTCCACGCGCCTCCTTTAGAAGTCTTTCCTGAAAGCTCTTTAGTTTCTTCTTCCCAGCTTCCTCTCCCTGGGAGTTTCACGTCCCCCACACCATTTTCACCCTTAGTATTCCATAAAGACAAAAGGTAGAATGCTATAGAGAAAAGAATAGACAAATTCTATTCTTTGAGCCCTTTTCTGATGCTCTCTCTTTTATCCTCACCTTTATTCAACTGGCACTTATTGTGTGTGCTATTGGGCAATGGCTGTACAGATAATTGAGACCAGTATAAATAAGTCTGTGATAAAAATGTCTCCAGAAGATGGAGGAAAGCTGGTGAACTCTTGAGAGTTGAATTAGTTAATATCAGCTGTCTGTTAGAAATTACCTCTGGTAATATAACGGAAGCTAATTCTAACCCAATTGATTATATCATCTGAGAAGATAAATGTGTTAACAGAAAGGTGTGGTCCACATGGAGTCAGTTATAGTAGTAATATTTTGCATTTCTCCAACACTAAGAGTATATGTCTGGTAGACACAAAGGTTTATGCTACTAGAGAAGGATCCTTGGTTATGAAAACATCAGCCTTTTCTCATAACCTGGGTGAAATATTTCTGAAGACTATCTGACAGGGAAAAAAACAAGTGTTTTTGTTTATTCTCATCACCAACAAAGACCTCTGTAACCAAATATGTGGGGGCTTTTCCCTACACACCAAACAAGCAATTAATTCTACAGCAGATACCAGCTAGGTATCCTCAAATTCAATACCAACACTATCTACCTGAAGATACTGTCAGATCCCACGGGTTGAAGACTCAGTCCCCAAGACTGTCCCTCACTTCAGACGCTGATCTGAAGTCCAGGCCTCTGTAACTTCTGACCCACGGGCCATAAATTGGGGTTCCCACGACCCTCTCTTTGGGTTTGATTAGTTTGCTAGAGCAGTTCACAGAACTTAGGGAAACATTTATGTTTTCCAGTTTATTATACAGGATATTACAAAGGATACAGATGAAGAGATGCATAGGGCGAGGTATGGGGGCAGAGGTACTGAGTTTCCATGCTCTCCCCAGGAACCTCCCCACCCTCCAGGAACCTCCACGTGTTCATGTTACCAAACCTAATGGGGTTCATTTGCCCACTCTCAATCGGAAAGCCAAACATGGAAGCACAGGTCTTTGCAGCAGAGAAAAGGTTTTATTCGCAGGATGGCCCAAGTGAGAATACGGGAGAATTATATCTCAAATCCATCTTCTCCACAGAGGAAAAGAAGATATATTTATGAGGAAGTGGTTAGGGGTAGTACAAGGCATAGGGATTGCTGTTGGTTAAAAGGTTTGAACAGGTGGGCCGGCCTGTGGCTCACTCGGTAGAGTGCGGTGCTGATAACACCAAGGCCACGGGTTCGGATCCCATATAGGGATGGCCGGTTCGCTCACTGCCTGAGCGTGGTGCTGACAACACCAAGTCAAGGGTTAAGATCCCCTTACCGGTCATCTTTAAAAAAAAAAAAAAGGTTTGAACAGGTGCAAGCTGTCTGCATGCCTCTGCGTGTTCAGAAAAATGGTGGCATTAGCAGGATCTGGAAGTGGAGTCTTTGGTCCTCTGACATGAAAAGGCCACCCATCAGACATTCATGCTGGCTCAGTAGAGAGGTCTGCTGGCTCAACCATCCTAGCCCGGTTTGTGTTGGGCCAAGCTAACTCCAGCAGCCCTACAAAAGCACAGGCACACAACTTGTGACTTCTGTGCTAGAGGTGTTATCTTAAAAGGCAGGTAGGCAGAAACAGAATGAGAGGTTATGGAAATTTAATGAAAGAAGAACAATTTAAACAGGGAATATGTTTTAACTGAAAAGCCACGGTTATATTCAGCTTTCCAGAAGCTCTCTGAACCCTAGCCTTTAGGGATTTTATGGAAGCTACATTACATAAGCATGACTAAAGCATGAACAACAACTGTAGAAATATGATTGGACAAAAATGGTATGATCCAATACTAACAGACTGAGTGGGGATACCCAGCAAGGCCTGTTGTTCGGATTCTTGGCCTCTCTGTGCAGCATTCCTTCCTCCCAGGTATAGGGCAGGGTCCCTCCCACCTGAAATGGGCGTACTATCACAGGGGGGCTTATCACATACAATCAGACAACGTAGGTCAGAGAATTTTTTTATGGCTAACTCCAAGATAGAAAGGTGAAGGAAGGTTAGTTTCTATTGCCTGCCTTGGAGAGAAAAAGGAGCAGGAGAAAGGAAGGCAGGAGAAAGAGACTGTTTTCTGAGCCTAAAACAACATGCTTATTGTTTTAGTCACTCAGGAAATAAGAGCTATGGGAGTTATGAGCCAGGAACCATGGACAAAAACCAAAAGACATATATCATAATATTACACTAAACAACCCTCTTTGCTCAGATTCCATGCTCAATTAACAACTTTTTTACTATTCTATATTTTTTCAGTCTTTTTGTTGTTGTGCCTGTTTAATTTTTCTAACTTGGGGGTGGGGGGTGACAGGACGGAGAGAGAGGCAGATACGGGGATTCAAACCTTTGACCTTGGGAGAGCACTGTGCTCTCCCAAGTGAGCTAATCAGTCAGCCCCCTCTGATTATTCTATTTCAAGATAAAAAAAAAGATGATTCTGAGAAGGGAAGAGCCAGTTGTGGGAAAACATATCCACCACTAGAAGTTAATTAATTTGCATTCTGGACTATTCATAAATTTCTTGTTTTTTTTTTTGTTTGTTTTTTTTTTTAAAGATGACCGGTAAGGGGATCTCAACCCTTGGCTTGGTGTTGTCAGCACCACGCTCAGTCAGTGAGCAAACCGGCCATCCCTATATAGGATCCGAACCCGCGGCCTTGGTGTTATCAGCACCGCGCTCTACCGAGTGAGCCACGGGCCGGCCCTCTTGTGTATTTTTTTAGTGTTGGACCCTCCCCAGGAAGCCAATCAACTCTGGAAGTTCTGATAGTGTCAACTTTTCAAACCTACAGGGTAGAAAACAAAACCCACATAACAAGGACACCACCACAACCCTGGCACCCTGTGAGACCCTCCCTAAGAGGCCAGCTGACCTCACTTTCTCTTTGACCTTTGATCTCTTTTGTAACTTCTATCACAGTGCCCTGTGCTATGAGAAAGGGTGAAGGAAAAAGAGATTATGTGAATCCTTACTATGTGATAAGCCCTATGCTAGTGGCTACCTACAAGTACGTATAATAGTCTGTTTCACAGATAAGGGAACTGAGGCTCAGAGGAATTAAAGCAGTTCCTGAAGGTCACCCAGCCACTTATTAAAACATGATTAGAAGCCAGGTCTGCCTGACTCAAAGTACATGCTCTGCCACTTTACTCATACTCATTCACCAACGAGATGTTGAGCTTATTGAAGTCACTTAACTTCTACAGCCTTGCTTTCTTCCTCTGTAAAATGAGAGAGAGAGAGAGAGAATTAGATTTAATACTTTAGATTCCATACAAAACCTTATTAGATAAGTCTAAGTAGGCCAATATCCTACAAATTGTATCAGGCTAATTACTGCCTATTGCTCCCCAGAGCTCCCTCCCAGCATTCTTACTGGGGCTATTATAAAATAAAATAGAGTAGGCCATTTGTAAAAGTATACACCATCACAAACAAATAAGCTGGATTTTATTTCCTTTAACACCTGTGAGATTTTTAACCAACGGCAACTGAATTCCTTCCCAGGCAATTTAATCAAACATTTATTTTGTATTCTAGTTCCATTTCACTCACAATCCTCTCCTTTCCCATCTCCCTTCATCTGTTCCCACCACCACCCCACCTCCTCCATGCTGAGCTGCACACCATTCATGAGATGAGTAAGGCCTTTTCACCACTCCCTG